CACTTATTTTACTGAGCTGTCTCCCCAGCCCTCAAAATATAAGGGTTTTATATGTGCTTTATATATAGGCTATAATTTTCAGCCAAATGAGCTTGTTTTTAAGACCCATATTGCTAGAACAGTTGAATGTTATCTTCTTTCAATATCACCATTGGAATGAATAAAAAACTATCTTTCAGGCTGTACCCAGAGTACTGTTTTTATATATATTGAAATAATTTTTGTTGACAAATCATCAATTTGCTATTAGTTTATATCCTACCTTCAAAAGGGAGGTGGGCATTTCGCTGCCTATACCTTTTACATGGAATCACTTTCATTAAATTCTGCCATATCTTCTCAGTTTTACTTGCAAACACACACACACACACACACACACACACACACACACACACACCCTTTTCATGAGTTTCCCACAACACCAACTAGAATTAAATGCTCAGAACAATAAATGCTTCCTCTCCATTGTCCCATTTCGTAAATGCACTGTGCAGTCCCATTGCCACCTGTTGCTTATGGTGGTGAGATGGCTATCATTATACCAGACAAACACCCAACAAGATTCAAATGTCCACACCAAGTAAAGAAAACACAGATCAAAGCTCAAAGGTTTCCAACATTCTCCCTGAAGGAAATCAAAAAGTTTCAGTTCTCATGCACACAGAATGACTTCTCACTTTATTAATTGAGACAAATTCCAAAGGAGAAAGCCTTATGTGTAGACCTACCTTAGATTCTCCCACCTTCAGACAAAACCAGGATTTCCAAGTTCTCTTATGTATTACCACACGATCTTGTCTAGACAGAAAAATAACTAGACCATATTTCTGAGAACATTTTTTTACCAATCTAAATTTCAGTGGCTTGGGTCCTGAAAATAAATTAACAAATTTGTGAGAAATATGTTTATTATCACATGTATGAAAGAACACTTTATAAGAGTAGCTTTCTGAACAGCCAGGGGGTGTGGACATCTGTTAAGGTCTCAGAGGAAAAGAATGGGTGACTCCGATAAGGCTTATTTATGCAGTTCAGTTCCTCCGGAGGTCCTGTTGCTTGTCTGGAGGTCTCCCCCTTTCAGATTTCCTGGAAGTCTTGTTAGTGAAGCTAAATTTTCAGAAAGACTAATCCTGCTCATCAAAGGGAAGTTTAGATAATGCTTTTTTCGCCCTGCAGCTGCTGTTTGTTCAGATGTTCTCAAACTAATAGTCTTTAGGCCATGCTGATATGTTGTCAGCCCTTTACTGTCCCATCTGAAAATAGGCATGAGGTTTCATAGCAAGGATCTGGCTGTGCTGCTGTGGGCTAAGGGTCTGGAGTTAAGAGATCTTGAAAACAGAATAGAGATGAGCACAAGGATGAGTGCAGAACAGAAGGAACACAGCTCTCCTGTAGCTTCCCAGTGCCAGACCACTTTACCGTGGGAGGAAGTGTTTCTCTCACTCCGAGGTATCGTCCCTTCGTAAATGCACTGTGCAGAATGGTTCCACCATCTACTTGCCTTGACAGAAACAAAACTTTGTTAAAATACCTAAGGTAGGCCAGGCATGGTGGTGCATGCCTGTGATCCTGGCACTCGGGATGCTGAGGCAGGAGGATCATTCTGAGTTTGAGAACAGCCTGGGCTACACAGTGAGCTGAAGGCCAGCCTGAACTGCACAGTGAGACCCTGTCTCAAAAAGGAAAAAAAAAGAAGTTTCAGATAGATGAGGTTCTTGGGTCAAGATGACATATAAAACTTTCTATTTCATGATGTCATCTGCTTCTCGTGCCTCTGGGATGGTTCTAGAAATTATCAGTTACAGTAGGTCATAGGAGTGACCTACCACTCATCATATGATGATTTAGATCTAGCTTGAGATAGTTCATATGAAGCCAGAAATTTTTTAATGGCAGTATAGATGGTTTGCAGTACCTTGTCAGATGTCTCTCAAAGAGGTGACAACCGCATATTTCCTTTAAAAAAACTAGATGTTTACCGACCACCTGGTTGAAAAGATGGTAAGTGCTAACCAGAAAAGCCCAAACTTTTTGCAGCATTTGAAGACATGTTCCAAGTATACTTCTTGTATATAACCAGTCATAGTACTATGTCGTTCACTCATTGTTTCTAAGTATAAAATCTTTGCATATAACTGGGACAGATTGTATAGCTGACTCTGATTATGAGAATAACAATCCTTATATTGAACTAGTATTATATTTCCCAGTCATTTGTTCCCAGTATAAAAATACATGTTTGGGGATATAGCTCAGTGGCACAGCACCCGCCTGGGAGACACAAGGTTGTGAGTTTGAGTCCTGGTTCTCTCCCTCCCCAAAAACCCCATGTACACTCTATGCACACTCTGGGAGGTAGGAAGATCACAAATTCAAGCCCAATTGTGTAACTATGTGTATACAATGGGTCATGGTATTCTATTTATATTTGGTGCTCAGTATAAACATAAAAGGGCCAGCCAAATAGCTCAGTGGATTAAAGCGCCTGCAAGCAGGTGCAGGGGCCAGGGGATTGATTCCCAGGCCTGCTGTGCCAGCCCCGCCTCCCAGGCATGCTGAGATGGCAATTGAGATTGGGTGTGGTGGCGCATGCCTATAATCCCAGCTCTTGGGAGGTTGTACACAGGCAGATCACTATGAGTCCAATCTAGTAGTGAGACCTTGAATACCCTGTAGACCCTTCCAGAAAAAAAAAAAAAGCATAAGAATTCTTGTGTATAACTTGTTATTATATTCCACTGTGGACTCACTACTTCCAAGCAAAAGTGTAATAATCTGTATTCAAATAGTCATTTATATTGCTGTGTTCAGAATAGTTACAAGAATAAACACTACTTGTACACAAAGCTTCAGTATATTTCATTGTTCACTCTTTGTATTAAGAATAATAGTTATATACAGAGGATTATTGTATTGAAATACTAACACATTGGTTCCAATTAAAATAATCCCTATGTGGGAATTTTCTGTATATTAGAATGTTTTGACACTTTAAAAACTTTCTTGGCTAACACAGACTGGTCATCCTTGAGCAAGCCAATTCTTAAGCACAACAGAGGCCCAGAAAGATCATGATTGTTATATGCAAACCAATTTAGATCCATACCTCCTTTATTGGGCCCCTACATGCTAGGATTCATTATATTTTACTATGCTGTAATTATCCCAGGGCTAGGCTCTAGGCAACGAAGGACCTCTCCTATACTACAAGACTTCTGGAATTATTCCAACTAGCCAATTCTAAATTTTTCCATTACTCTGGTTTTCTAGCTTCTGGTAACACTCATCTTTCCCACAAGACCTCTCCTGGCATGCATGACTTATAGCTGTAAGATCTGTAATCTTAATAAACTGTAGAGTCTCCCCACCCAGTTTCTTCTGTGTCTTCTTTGTGGTTTCATCTAATTGGGATCTCAGAAGCCCATTTTCAGCTGCCCATTTAGGAGCTTTGCCATCATGTCATTTCATAAAGATTCTGTACCAGTTTCCTCAGTAAACACTGGCGAATACTAATTTTTGTAGGAAGACAGATACCCTGAAATGTAGAATCTTAGGCCCACGGGTGATAAGTACCTGCAGAGTTCAAGAATCTGGGGGCCTTCTCTACTGCAAGTGTGTCATGCAGATGCCAAAGTGCGTCTAGTCAGTGCAATTAGTGGGAGTTTCCTGCTTCACCAATACACAAGCTCACATACAGAAAGCCAGTTTTAATACTTCTGTGAGAATCTGTTTTTAAAGAGCTAAGATAGAACAGACTAATACTGGATTGCTCAAGGGAATGTCTATGAGGTCCTTATGTGGTCAGAAACCATCTCTCATCATGTGGAATGGAAAATAATTCTCTATCGTCAGGGAACAGTAACAGCATAACCAGGTTTAGAACATTACAGTATAGTATGATGGACTTGGTTTGTCACTGAGTGGAGATGCTATCGTAAGGGCTTGTAAGAACTGACACAACATGGAAAATGCAAGGTGAATATGAAACCCTAGTGTAAGGATAATGTCTGTGTCAATTTGAGGGCAACAATGGCTGCTGCATAAGCCCTGGAACAGATCTTTAATACTAGAGTGTCCAATTAATGAGCTATATGCTTTGGGATTTGAGAGAAAAAAGATTATTCTAGAATGTCCAGTTATTCTACTGTTTTCATGCAAACTTTGGTAGAAGGTTTGTCAAAACTAGGTAAATTATGAGCAGATGTGTGAAGGGGTGGGGGGATTGCTAATGTCAGTGCTTCAAAGGAGGTAAAGTCTCCCTGTGTGTGTACCTGGAACAGCCTATAAAAACTAAACATGAACAGTATCCTTATATTAGATTCCCTACTCATCAGAATCCACTGACCATAATAACCAGACATCCACTAAATGTTTGCATAATTATTGTCTATGAAAAAATGAACAATATTGATTCCAGGTATTTTGGGGGTGAGTCTGAGTATCCAGATATTTTTGTTGCTTGTACACACTGGAGTTTGGCTCTAGTCACCTTTATAACCCCAGCCTTAATACAAAAACAAAAACAAAAATCTTTCCAGTTGTCCTTTCCTGTGTCTTCAGATGTTCTCGGAGTAACAGAGATATAAGAACATAGGTTTTTTTTTGCAATGTTCTGGTAGGTTGTTAAAAATTTCAGTGTTAAATACCAGCAACATGATTCAAATACCATTAAGTCCAAGGATAAGTTTAAACTTTTTTTTTTTTAAATGCATTTGATTATTGTAGAGTCTCACTACACAGCTCAGACTCATGGTGATCTTTCTGCTTTCAGCCTCCCTAGCACTGGGATTGCAGGCATACGCCACTACACTACGTCTCTGTGGCCAGCTCAGCCTGCCCTGGGGTTGGGACTGGCGTGGCATGTGGTACCGGGGATCAAACCACGGTCCCTGTGCTTGCCTAAGTCATCAGCTCCACAAGGATAAGTTTGAATTATCACTTATACTTGAAGTAAAAACTTGACAAAAGTGCTTAAAATGCAATGAAATTTTTTCTGGTTCAGTTGTGACTTTAGACACGATTCAAAGAGGAATTTTACTATCTCTTCTCTGGGTAATATGGAGGCTTCCTTATTCTTTTGTATTAGCTTATTTATGCCCAAGAGTGTAATTTTTTAAATTTTTCCATGAAATTCATCGTACCTAGAAAATAAGGAACAAGAATTTTAAGAGGAAATACATTTATTATCTTTTATTTTTATGTGGAATTCCAGAAATGATCCACTGGGCAAAACCACTACCTTATACAAAGTGCTTATCTCAGGAACTGCTTCTCGGCTCAGGTTGTGGTCACTGTGATGATATTCAACAGAACACTTCACATGAAAGGCAATAACACATTTTTTACGCTGAAAAGTGATGTTCTTATGACATCCAGCACCTTGTATTTGCTTCCCTATTTCACAATCACATGATTTATGCCACCAAATGAGTCAATGTTATACTTCATTGACTCCTTTTAGGCCAGGTTTGGAGGATGAACATGGATCTCCAGATAATGGCCTACTGATGAAAGCCCCATAAAATTTATTGGATTTTCATCATGTACTTTATGCAGTTGCCAAGCATTTTGTAAGATCAATTTAAAACAGAACAAAAGAGGACTTGAATACCACTTCTTTCCACAGGTCGATGCCCAATACTTATCAATGTTTTCATCAGCTCTGTCTATGCCTCCCACGAACTTGTTATATACTATGGTCATGTTTAGCTACATACTTGGATCTTTTTTAGTTTCTGGGAATAACAATTGACAAGACATGGGATCAAGACCAAGACCATATGAAACAACAGTGACAATACTGGCATTATTCCATCTGCAGGCAATACTGCCTATGACATCAGTTCCATAATTGACTGAGTTACTTTTTCCTCGTTTCTGGGACAAAATACCCAACACCCAGACTGAAGGAAGGAAAGGTTTAACTCATGGTTAGTGGTATAGTCCATACACTGCTGGCTCCAAGGCAGAGTGGCACAAGGCAGAGAGCAGCTGTTCATGGCAGCAGAAAAAACAACAAACAGCAAAGGGAGGAGCAGCAGCTATGGCAGCTAGGGAGACTCATTCCTCTCAGATTACCCACCCCAGGACAGGTATAGCACTCACACCCACAATTCTATCATTGGATCATGAATTAATCACAAACTGTAGAAGCTGCCTCATGACTGCGTGAGGCTTTGGGGGTACACCTAGACACAAACCATAACAATAATCAAATGCCTCTTTCTACTTTAGAGCTACATTTGATTCCACTGGAACTTGTCAGTGCAATCCTTTCTCATATCTGTTGTTTGATGTCCCACTGAACTGAACTTACCAAGCAGTTCAACATTGGTGAAAAAGTTACTCAATAATAAAATGGTATTGAAAGGTATCTGCATCACAGTATGGTGAGCACATTCATTAACTGAAAAACAATAAAGCAATTTTTCAACCAATCATCCTGAAGATTCTGAGCTGGTGGAGAGATAGGCTTTAGGTGCCTTGACTGAAGGATAGAACTATTTTTTTTGGGGGGGGGGCATACAGAAATCAAACTCAGGACCTTACGCTTGCCAGGCTGGCACTTGTGCCACTAAGCTATATCCCAGGCCCAAATGAAGGATAAATGATGCATCGACTTTGTATTTCTCATGTTTAGTTATTTGGGTTTTTACCCTGATACACATGAAACTAGCCCAAACCTGTGGTAACACACCAAAACTCATAGGCAAACTGAATACGCTTTTCTCAAATAAGTAGTTTGAACCGATGATGACCAAAATAAGGAACCATAGATTCATCAATGCTGATATACGTCCATTGGAACAAATTTCATACACCTCTCATTGTACTTGACAGGTCTCAACTTGGAAAATTTATCTACTGGGTCCTAGTTTGTACTGTCAGCAATGTGCAAGTTAGAAAATAGTTTTTAGGTCATATCTCATGGCAGCACTAAACAGTACATCATTATGCATCTGTTCTTTGATCGCAAAACATATGCCTTCTGGGAACTAAGACTAATCACTCAGGGAAATAATTCCCAGAAAACATTTTAATTTGGAGAGTCGAACCAAGATATACACCCTTAACTTTGAGCAAAGACTACTTGACAATGAAATGGGTTCAATGACTATCATCAAGGAAATGTTCAAAATTCTGTGGGAGTTCCCACCTCAGGGAGGAAATCCTTTGGTGTTTCTGTAACTCTACATGCTACGGGTTGTGCAATTAGGTCAGCTTTTGGCTACTTGTGGAGAGAGTTTGTTACTTTTTCCCCCCTTGATGGAGGAGGTTGCTGCGCAGTAGACATAGATGGAGCTGTAAGGAGATGCGATGAGGCACCGTGAGTCAGAGTCATCATCTTGAAGAACTCAGATTGTTTACTGTTTTACCTTTATTTTCTGAGTATCATCAGAAACAGGGGTTGTGACATTTTCAAGTGGCTGATAAATAATAAAGAGCCAGTTTCAGGCTCTGTATAAACCAGGTGCTTGGAAATCCTGTAGCTACTGACCATATGACCTGGATGATGTTGTTTCACTCCAAACCAGTGCTATACCTGCACATACAACTCAGGCTGCTGACCTCTGCGTGTGCTGGACACAAAAGGAGCCCAAGGTCCGCCCTTGCACCCGCTGGAGAGGCCAAAACAGAATTCGTTATCAAGTAGTGTCGAATCTTCCCTGTGGAATCAAAGTGCAAGCTTGCCACCGCTCCTGGCCTGCCCGGGAGAACTTCCGGTGGCCTTTAGCGGTGCCTGTGCCTCCCGCGGCCCCGGGTACCGGGCCTGGCGCCCGCCTCCCAGACGGTCAAGAGCTGTGCTGTGGGGCCGGGGAGATGACTCAGTAGAATAAGCGCTTGCCTGGCAAGCGCAGGGACCTGAGTTCAATCCCCAGTTCCGCCAAAAAGGAAAAAAAAAGCTGTGCTGTCCCTGAGTTCTGGCTGCAGGGAGCAGAAGAGCTCCGGGCGAAGCTCAAGGGGTCAAGGGGAGGCCTATCTCCTACCTGGACCCACATGGTGACCGAGAACCCCCTACTTCGGAGCCAGGGCGCCAGACATTCCTCCTGCGACTGAACAGGTCACAAACGCCGCTGGGTCGGCAGATCAAGGGCTACATGTTGACCAGCCAATCACCCGGAACCCTCTGCGCGGGAGAGGAGCAGGTAGGAGGACTGCGGGACAGGCAGCCAATCCTCGAGAAGACTGCGGAGGGCGGTTAGCCAATCTTCTAGGCGACTGGGCGGGAGCAGAGCGGCATGGCCAGCCAATTCCCGCAAGACTGGGAGGAGGTGGGACGCGGGAGGCAACCAATCATCCTGAAGATTCTGAGCCGGCGGGGAGGCGGGCTTTAGGACGCGTATCCAATTCCTGAGAAGAATCTGGGCCGGAGTTTGCCGGGGAGGCGGGTTCACGCCTTGACGACAGCCAATCGCCAAGAGCTCTTAGAAAAGCGAGACGGGTCCGATTATTGGCTGATTTAGGCCTTAGTCTTCCCGGTTGCTGTGTGCCTGTAGCGGGATCTGACCCGAAGTGTTGTGGAACATCCTTCTGGGAACAGATTCCACAGCCTCCCTCCCACCAGGCCCTGGCAGTGCTGGATCTGATTCTCTCTGGACAGAGCACCTTCCTCGGGTACTGTCCTGGAGAAGCCCTATGGTCACTCGCCCTCCCACTGAGTGTTAGGCTGTAGCTTTGAGTCACACAACCCGCTGGCATCCAGAACTGCTCATCTTGCCACACTTTTCCTCACTTGTAATCAGCAAAGGTTCATGGAGTGCCTTCTTTGTGCTCCGCAAACTCCCAAACTTTAAATGGACGAAACAAAGGCTTTCTTAGGCTGATATTGTAATAGGGGAAAAAAATCATGATGTGTCTTAGTGTGATCAGTGCTAAAGAGGAAAAAAATAACCATTTATTGCAATTTGAAAAACTAGTAACAGTGAGTCACCTTTCCTATGAATAAATAACCTTTTGACGCTAAGAAGCAAACAAAATCCATTGTGAATGGTGTGGCTGAATTGCTTTGAAAAATGCATTGTGTCGCAGAAATGAACGAAAATACATAAAATGCTTTTTACTAAGAGTGACAGCTACTTGGCACCCTGAGCCTCAGAGAAGCGACCTATTTTGGTTTGAATTTGATAATTCAGAAAAGAGTCTGAAGTGAACAAAGGCCATCACCCGAGGATTCAGGAGCAAGGATCACAGCCTGGGTGGCTGTCACACATGAGAAGACTCCTAAATAATGCGGGTGGAGTAGTATTAGAGCCCTTTGGTTTCCAAAACAGGAAAGGCTACAGCCTTTTATGCCAGCCTCTGAACAGACCCAATGCTTTCTTAGCTGTTCCCACTGTTCCCCCCACAGCAAGGGCCCTATCTCCATCAGCCACTTCACCCTGAGTCTCAGCCCTTCCTATATTTTTTTGTTTCCTATCTCTTCACCGACTTCCTCTCTGTCCTTTGCTCATCTGTCTGGGTCCAGACATGGTTCTAACCACTATTCATACTGTCCCTTAATAACATTGACTTACCTCCTCTTCCTTAGCCTCCTTATCCTCCTCTTGAAGTAGCACTCTTCAGAATATCCTTTATTAATGTTTCTATACACACCGTTTTACATCCTTTGTAGGTGTATGACTTTGAGCAAAAACAGTCTGGTGAGCACATTTATTAACTGAAAAACAATAAAGCAATTTTCAACCACACAAGCAAGTAATACTCTGAGAATGCTTTATGTGTGCTCTTGCAGGGCCTGTCCCACCTATGTCACACTGATCATACCATCTCTCACTCTGCTCATCTCATTCACTCCTCTATTCCTCTCTCCCTTGCCCCGCCAATTAAATGCACCCTCCCATATTTTTAAGTAGTAAAATGTGTATGCTTCTCAGAGTGTAGTTGAGTGACGTCGTAAATGAGAGGAAACAATAATTGTGTACTACAGTAAAAGGCATGCCCAATCCTTGGAAGCACAAGCCTCATGTTGTGATGTGTTTTTAGAATCAACATGTGCTGAGAACCCACCATATACTAAAGCACTATAAAAAACCCAGGAGTAAACAGACAAAATTCCAAACGTGAACCTTGCCCTTGTGGAACTTCCATCTTGTGGATATAACAGATATAAGGTCATTTA